GGAATGCCTGGCCCACCTTTAAGGGAGGAGGTGGAGGGAAGAGATGGGAAGCAGAGAGAGGAGGGGAGAAAGAGAGGGGGAACGTACCGAGAAAGAGAAACAAACAAAAGTGGGGTTAGTAGTGGTTATGGATTAGTGTGCAAAGCCCACCTGGAAGATCGCTGGTGAAAAACCCTCGAGAACAAGGAGGTTCAGACTGCCCCACAGAAAGCGCAAGCCCACCTGGAGAGAGGAGGGCTGGGCAGGGATGGCTACGTGCCCAGCTGGCTGCGTGCAGGCTGCCGGTCGTGCAGGCTGCCGGGGCTCCCTGCTGCCTCCGGGATGTGCTGGGCACCTCCTGCCCAGCGGTGGGGTTTCACCAGCATGGCGCAGGTCGCAGAGGCTCAGCGATAAGCCTGCGATTATCCCATTCAGACCCTGGGAAAGGCAATCTGCCTCAGCTACACCACAGAAGGTTTGTCTGCCAGGCTGGATGTATGCAGCCATTCTGCCTGCAGAGGCCAGGAAGGGGAGCAGGATTTGACCTGGAGTAGCGAGGTAGTAGTCACCCCCCATAACCCCTTCACTGGCCAATGTCTGTACGGTGCGGCACAGACCTCGAGAAGGAGCAGCAGGAGGCATGGCGGCTGCTTCCCAGACCAGGGAACAGTTAGCAAATATACTGCTGCCTCCTGCCCCAGGCACTGCAGGCAGGACGCCCTTTGGTGGACGGAGGGAGCCCAGGCATGGGGTTCAGCATCGTGGACCCCAGCAGGCACGGCTTGTCATTCCAGAGCATCCCTGATAGAGGTAAGCAGTCTAGTAGGTGATGGGTTAGAGGTTTCTGGGGAATGAGGGCTGGGCAAAATGGAGGAGATACAGTGGTGGGGGCAGAGGGCATCTCCTGGCTGAAGTATTAGGTCTGAGCAGTCACCAAAAAAAAAGGCACAGCGGTTTTATGCAGCATTAGTTAGTGTACGGGTGAGAGAGAGAAGGGGGCAGAGGAGGAGGAGAAATTGCCAGTTCCAACTCCCCAGAGGGGACAACCTCTCCCCTGCCCCCCCCATTCAGTGGACACCCCACTCAGGCTCAATGGCCCACCTCTTCCCACCCCACACCCTGCAGTGACCACACACCCATGGTCAGGGCGTTGGAACCGTCTGTGCTCAGTAACCTCCTCCAGCTGCAGCCCTCTACCCCTTCCCCCAAATTCCCCCGTCAGCGAGGGGCACTAAGGCAGCAAGGATGGCGAGTTAGGGAACAGGGTGTTGTATTCTTCCTGAAAAGTAATGTCTCTGAGTCTCCGGAAAGCCAGAAACGTGAGGAAGCCCTGTGAGGAGAGAGAGGGATGTGGGGAGGACAATCAGTAAGGAAGAGCAAACCAGAGTGTGTGACTGAAATAAAAACCCCAAGGGACCAGGGAACGAGGATGCCTATTCAGCCACTCGCAAGCCCGTGCATTGGGGAGGACCACTGCAGCTGGTGGCACCTCTGCTGAGGACATCCCTCTCAAAAAGGGTCCTGGGGGATCCCTTGCAAAAGCCTTGCTCCTTGTCACGCTTTCTGCTGGAGCTTGCAAGGGGCTTTCGGCAGCACTCGAGATCGGGCACAGCTTGTGTAGGGGACACACATGCTGCTGTCCCTTGTCCCCACTTGGTGCCACCTTGGTGAGGGTGCTGACCACACAACCTTTTTTAGCCCCTCCTTCCTCTCTGACAGCTTCGTGGTCTTACAGCACCCCTCCTACCTGGCCCCTACCCAATGCTGAGGCCCGTAGGGAGAGGAGAAGATAAAGCCACAAGGACTTATGCATGGAGACTGGCCTAAAATGGTTTCCTGCTTGGCACTATCCTGTCACTTCAGACAAAAATCACTCGGGCTTGGTGCTTTCAGAGACATGAGGAAATCGTGGGGGATATTTATATTGCACAGTATAGTTTTTCCAGGAAACTAGCAATAAAGAACTGCCAGGGAAAGGGCAGTCTTAAAAGCCAGCACCATCACCTTCCTAAGGTGACCCAGTGAGGCGGCGCTGCAGTCGTGGGTGCAGAGGAGAGCCCAGAGGGACGCGGCCACTGATGACATTTCACGTGATGGGAGCAAAGCAGGGAGGGAGATGGGTGCAACCCCCAGCCTGGAGCTCTCTTCTCTGCTTAGGGTCTGTGAGGTGAAAATGCTGTTAAAATCCTCTGACGCACAGGGAAAATGATGCCTGGGCAGCTGGCTTGTCCAAGGTCATATTAATGGTTTGTCAAGGACACTCCTTACTGGCATATAGGACCCTCTTTCCCATTGTGCTTATTAATGCTCTAGCATCTTCTTCCATGTAAGTTTTTGAGTCCCAAGTTTACCTCCTAACCACCTCCCCTCCTGCTCTTCCTTCTCAGAAGCCATGTGAACTGAGATCTCAGAAGGAATCACTCTTAGCCGGTCACCTTCCATCCCCCACAAGCTAATATAGTGCAGAGGACACTTAATCCAACATCATGGCTGCTGTACTCACCCAAGTGAAGATGGAGAAGAACGAGAAGGTGATGGCTGCTCTGGCTGCATCCCCTCCCTCATTCATTGGGTTGTCCTCTTCTTTTGAAGCTTGCCACTGGTTGGTCAGAAAGCAGAAGCCAACGAACCAGAGGAATGCCAAAAAGGCTGGGATGGACCACCACCAATATGCCAAAGGGGAAGGGAAGAGACGTCAAGAAGGAATGTGTGAACAGAACATAAATACATCATGTTTCTCTGGAAACTTCAACCCTACGAGACCTACCAGTGTGTTGCAGATGAGGCCAAGCTCTGACTGCGCGGCCTGTCCAAGCCCAAGCAAGCTGGCAGGCTGGCTGACAGCTAAATTGTCAAGGTGACAATAGGTGTCTGCAGAAAGTACCTCAGGAGAGTTCATTTGCTTACGTTTGGATTGATCACAGGACTTGCATTTGGCCTTGGGGGGGAGCCTGAAGGGCTTCCAGTACAGGAGCAATCACCTGGGCTCTGTGAAACAGCCACTGCTTCACAAGCCTGTCCTGCAAGGACAAGCAAAGAGCAACTCCTTCCAAGGGAGCTGCAGGAGAGTGGGAAGCAGCCAGCCTGCAGTTGCACAGAGACCAGCTTTTGCTCAGGACAGCAGAGGCTAAGGGACTCACACTGGGGAAAGGTGCTGAAGGATCATTAACATGCTGCACCCCTGGGAAAGGGGTGAAGGTGGGGGGGAGCCCTGAGTCCAGACTGGCAGCTGGTGGGGAGGAGTGGGACTCTTCCTCTTTGCCAGGCGCAGCCAGATACCCAAGCAGCGAGGGAAATGGGCATTCCTAAGTGGGCAAAACAGGGATCGGTCCTTCCCCTTACCCCTCCCCTTCCCCTTCTTCTGCCCCTTCCCCTTCCCCTTCTTTTGTTAGCTGTACACAGGACTGCTGTGTACAAATTCAGATCCTGCAACTGATCCTGCCCTCGCTCCACTCGTGGCCCCTTTGACAAACCGGGGGGGGGGGACCCTGGTGTGGAGAAGTTTGCCTGTGTGGCTGGAGAAAGCCAGGAGTGCGACTCGGGATCGCAACATGAGAGCAAAGCGCCTGCTCATGATGCTGCTGACTGGCATTACACATGCACGTACACACGCACCATCACTCCGTCACTTCAATGCACTACTGGGGACGGAGAGACCTAACTATAAGTTAGAATAAGCCTCGGGGCTGGATGAGGTCCAGCTATTTGCATGGGGAATGCCAGGTAACCTCGGAAGACTGGTTTAGTCAGCCTGCATGAAACCCTCAATGGTTTTTTATATGAAAATATATAGGAATCAATCAGCTGGAGCTGGAAAAGAAGGAATTACCATCTCCAGAGGCATCAACACTTGGCCTTAGCAAGCAAAAGCATGCAGGGAGGAAAGACCTGCTGACCCTAAAGGGCTCCCTGAGCTACACCTATGGAGAACAGCAGAGAGGCATCAGCCAGATTGGCTGAGAAGAGAAAGGGAAAGAAAAGGATAGAGAGAGAAAGTCTGAGAGAGTAAGGAACCCAAAGACCCCCCTGCTAGCAGGGACCTGGCCTGCGAGGCAGCAGAAGCTCCCTCCCTCTGCCTTGCCGGCGGCAGAGAGGGGCACTATGGCCAGCTGGCCAGGAAGCTCACCTGAGACTCCGATGTCCGAGAGCACTGCCTTCTTGCGGTCCTTGACGCTGCTGATCTGCGGGAAGTAGGCATCCAGAGCCAGGTAAAGAAGGCAGCTGAGGAAGGTGAGGACACCCACAGTAATGCCATAGTTGCAGGCATTGCGATTGCGGTTGAAAATGCAGTGCTCTTGTGTCTCGTCGGGGCGGTTCACGTACCCTTCATTGACGATGGAGCCGAACACCACGATGGAGAACACCTGGTGGGGAGGGAAGGCAGGAGACACGTCAGGGCAAGCCCCATCTCTCTGGACCAGCACAAAGGAGCAGAGCTTTGCAGGGGACAGACACCTTTCACAGGCACCTCTCTGCTCTGCTGAGCTGCCGTCCCGCTGCCTTGCCTGGGCTGTAGCCACGGGGAATTTACTGGGGAGATGGTCTCATTTTATTTCTGAGGATTAACTTAAAATAGGACACTTTTAGATTGAGCCTTTTTATCCATCTGATCTAGAGTGAGGTAAAGCAGTTGCAGTCTGGAGTAAAGGTGGCTTCCCACAGACACACAGGGGGGCAACATGGAGTGTAAATTGGGATATGGTTTTGCTGCAGCTGCCTGTGTACGACGGCTCCAGGTAGTGGGAATCCTCTTAGTCTGCACTCATTCTCCCACCCACTCCTTTCCCTTCTAGGAATTCATTGTTTCTACCACGCATTTGTTCACTAATTTTATCTATCCAGCTACTACGCTCTTTTCCCCATCCACTCATCCACCCTCCCACAATCCGCAGCTCTGCAGCTCTGTTCTGCTGTGCTCCCGCTCTCCCCATCTCCCTACACATCACACACCTCTCTCCACCAGTCTTCCATCAGCCCAGCCCATGACACCACCTATCCTTCTGCCCACTCACCCGTACAGCGACACCACCCAACCTTCCCCAAAGATTTAATGGGCCAAACATCTTCCCCCCAGGTCCACCTGGCAGGGCCACCATGAGTCCTCCCTACCCGTCACCACCACTGCCGCTGCATGTTATTTTAAATCAGGTAGAATTAAGGATGAGTCCAGGTAGAAATGCCGTAATCCGCAGTTGCTGGTCTAATCTTTGCTCACGGGCTTAGCCTTCGTCACCTACCACAAGGCCGTCCCTCTTTGACACAGCAGGTTCACCAAAGCAGAGAGCTATTTACAGCAGCCCCAGTCCTGCATCTCAAATGAACAGCTTCCCCTCGCAGCCACAGGAGAAAGAGGGGAAGATTAAGGCGGCACATACAGATTTTTCTTTGCAGGGCATCCTGAGACCCTCAGTAGGAACAGCTTGTCTGGAGGCTGCCTGCAAGGGCCCCAGGCAGACAGAATCACAGAATCACACAACGGTAGGTGTTGGAAGGGACCTCTGGGACCAACCCCTCTGCTAGAGCAGGATCACCCACAGCAGGTTGCACAGGATGGTGTCCAGGCAGGTTTCGAATCTGTCCAGAGAAGGAGACTCCACAACCTCTCTGGGCAGCCTGTGCCAGCGCTCGGTCACCCTCAAAGTGAAGAAGATTTTCCTCATATTGAGATGGAACTTCCTGTGTTCCAGTTTGTGCCCATTGCCCCTTGTCCTGTCACTGGGCACCACTGAAAAGAGTCTGGCCCCATCCTCTAGACATCCACCCTTTAGATATTTATAAGCGTTGAGAAGATCCCCTCTCGGTCTTCTCCAGGCTAAACAGACCCAGTTCTCTCAGCCTTTCCTCATGAGAGAGATGCTCAAGTCCCCTCATCATCTTTGTAGCCCTCCGCTGGACTCTCCCCAGTAGTTCTCTGTCTTTCTTTCACTGTATTGTGAGTCTCTGCTTACTCATTTGGGATGAATGAACTTCTGTAACAGCCTCTCTCCAGAGACACCTCTGTTTACTCTGCTCATATCCTGATACACGTCTTCCCTCTGCTTTTATCTTTGGGTTTGCTGCTGGCCTGGAAGAGCTCTCATCTGCGAGTGAAATAAAGACAGGAATTGAAACCTCAAGCATGGGGTGAATGTACATATGACGTGCACTAGGATGTCACCAGAGCACTCTGCTAGCCTGGGAGCTGTCTGCGGAACGGGAGCCTGGTACCCTTGGAACCACCACCCAGTCCCCAAGGAGAAGCAGCACACAAGAAGATGAGGTGGCCAAGTCTCCTGCAGGGAGTGGAGGTAGGTCTGAGGGTTTGCTAGGTCAGAAGGACCCCAGTACCACTTAGCTCAACGGGAGAGCACATGGCAGACAACCTCAAAAGTGGAGAAACAGCTTTGTGAATGCATAGAAAATTAACTGTTGATTAATACCAACCTGATACACCATCTATCCAATCCACAGCACAGAGCTCTGCTGTTTGACCCACGGCATCAGGAACCAGAGCAAAAACCTTACTCATGGTCCCCGACAGCCCTTGGGCAGAAACTCAGTGCTGACCACATTTCAGCCACCAAACTCTAACAAGTATCTACCGACACCAATATTATTTTTTCACCCCAAGGCTCAGAACTGGGTCACACATGGGTTGCTGACATTGGGCATATTTTTGACACACTAGAACAAACTAAAAAAGCTGGAAGCCTGTGCTCCTAAGCATGGTGACTGTATATGGATTTTCTGAAAGTTCACAAGAGCTTTTTAAGCTGGGAAGTAAAACAACTGTTTTGTCCTCCTTCTCCTCCTTCTTGAAAATCGAGATTGATCATACTTTGCAGAAATTATCCGTGAAAATGAATAAAAATCTCTTCTGCTTGAAGCAAAGGTCTGGTCTTCAAAATTTCAGCCTGAACAGTTTGGAAAGGCAGTGGAATTGCACACAATTACAGCCAGGCTCTTTCAGTGGGAAGTCTCACACACCTTCACAACGGGCTGGGCTGACCGGGCTGCGCAGGACACTGGCAGTAACACTGTGTTCCTCTAACCCAAGGGGGAGCCGACAGGCTCCTGACGTGACATCCCAATCTTCTCTTTGGAAGATGAGAAACAGCCTCAAAAGTGGCATAGTCTGGTGTTCGGTTTTGGTTTCGGGCTCAAAACTGGCAAAATGTTGATTCCCTGAGTCAGGTCAACACTTGCAACAAGCTGTATTGTGAGTCTCTGCTTACTCACTTGGGATGAATGAACTTCTGTAATGGCCTCTCTCCAGAGACACCTCTGTTTACTCTGCTCATATCCTGATACACATCTTCCCTCTGCTTTTTGGGTTTGTTGCTGGCCTGGAAGAGCTGTCATCTGCAAGCGAAAGCAGCAGAATAATTCCTTTTTGCATTTGCTCTTTCATACCTTTTTATGCTGGCACGTTGTCAGCACAGGTCAGTCATGAGACCAGACAGACATCTCCCTCTCCCTAATTTTCAAGCAGAGGTAGCATTTCTAACTTCCTTTCTCCATCTTCAGTCAGACAAGATGCCACAACTTCTCTCCTCTGAAAAGAAACCTGTTTTGCAGCCTGGAGGTGCCCACGGTATGATTTACTGGCGAGCATCTTATTTAAGATGATCTTAGGAGTTTTCTGGGAAGATTCCACTCAGGGCATTCTCACTCTTGAGCAGAACAAGTTGCTGCAGATGCTTATCTTCTGTGTCCTAAAACAGCCCAAACTCCCCAAAATACTCTTTGTCCTTAGGAAAGCCTTCTGTGGACCAAAGCATAGTGGGTCAAGGGATGTCTCCTTCTCTCCTCCATGTTTTCCTCGCCACTGGTATCAGCTCTGGTACATGCTCCACTCCCCGGCAAGCCCAAACCAGAAGTTTCAGACCAACAGGCAGAGCTGGACAGCAGGAGATGAGGCAATCGTTGCTGCTGCTGACAGGCAGCGTTGCCTGTTTTATCCCTGTGATGTCTGTACCCAGAAACTGTTGGGACAGGTGCACAGACAAGCAATTTTCTAGAAAAAAATTATAATTATGAAAGCCCGGATCTCGCAGCCGTCAGGAGAACCTGTTGCACACTTAATCCATGGCAGCTACTTCCTTTTGGCAAGGAGGTGGGTGGATGGAAGCTCACGGATGTAGCAAGTCATCTTAGAAAGAACAAGTATTTTGTATTTTCTTGATTTCACAATCTGTGCCCATGCAAAGATTATCCAGGCAGCAGGTGCAGTATGAAAGTCTGCCTGGATTATAAACAAAGCACCAAGTTTGCAAGGATAAAGCATTTATGTTCCCGTTCCTATCACCTCTCAAGAAATGCCAGCTACCAGCAGCACGGCACAAGCCTCTTCCCCCTGCGTTACCACTGCTTGTTCTCTCTACCCCCAGCTGGCACAGCAAATCCTCACCGCACAAAGTCTTGCCTACAGCCACTAATAAAATGGTCCAAAATACGCAGCCAGTTGTTGCAAAGAGGAGGCAAGGAGAAGATGGCGATAATCTTCTGTCTGAGCACAGAGATGCAGGGAAGTGACTTGTCCGAAGGCTGACAGGAGGCAGACGTAAAGCACTCCTTCCCGACGCTCCCAAAGGCAGCCCATCCTTCCACTCTGCAGAGGGAGATCATTAGCCGCTTTCCTGTGCTCAGTGACAAAAAACAGCCAGCCATCCCCAGCTTTGTGCGCCTGAGCGGCCTCATTTCTTCAGCGAGGCTGCTTAAGTCAGTTAACGGGTCTTGAAGTACCTAGATTTTTAGGGTGAGAGGGTTTCCTTAAGCCTCCAAGAGCAATGTTAATTGGGCAGGCATGCAGCCTGTCTGGAGGTGCGCGTTTAATAAGCAGTAAGATATTCAGCTACACTGTCAACTAGAAAAAGGGACAGAAAACAACACTTGGAGAACATCTGGCCAACTTAGCATTGCTGCTGGGACCCGGCTTTTCTTGACTACATCATTCCTTAAACATCACAGTCACACAGTTGTTGCAATGATTTTCCTAGACTTCTGTTTTCATCAAAAAGTTCCGAGACACCAAGCGGAACCCAGAGCCAGGCACTTTGCAAAGCTGACAGAGACAGAGGAACTTGCCAAAAGATGCGGCAAAATTAACTAAATGCTAGGCGCTGGGGGGAGGAGACAGGGAGAGGCTGAGAGTTTTCCTCCCTCGGTTTCTTGAGGGGCTCGTGCTGGCCTTTACAGGCATTTAAGAGCTCACTTCAGCAATAAAAGTGCAGAATAAGCAAAAGGCTGCATCCCACCATAAAAGACTTTTTTTTTTTTTTTTTCCCCCTCTCACTGAACTGGGGGATCTGATTTTGCCAGAGGCAAAGGTGAGCAATGAACCCTCAGACGAGAGGCTCTCCATTCCTTCCCCACCTCCCCAGTGCAGGCTCAGCCCTGCAGAAAGCCAGGCGAAACCTCCTGAGCATCACGTGAGGCTTTCCACCACGCTGCCCGTCCCCAGCCGCACATCAGACGCTCCTGAGCATCATGTGACGGATGCACAGCACAGCCAGCCTCCGGCGGTGCACTAGGATTTTCCTGCACCTCATCCCAGGAGTTTGTCACGTTGGCTCCTGAATTCATCCCCCGAGGTCCCCATGACGGTCATAGCGGGGATGAGGCTGAAGAGGGTTTCTGTCGGGCTGTCTGCTTGGGCTCGCTGTGGTGCCCTCCGGTCACAGGCGCTATTGCACTGCATGTTGCCTCTCCCTCTCTCAAACCCCCTTTTCATTCTGTTATACAGAGGAAATAGTTTTGTGACATAATATTCCTTGTGGGACTTCAAATCAAATCCACCTTGGGCAGAACGAAGCAATAACCGCTTCTGTGTCTGATCTGGTAATGAACAGGAATAAAATTGTTTTAAAAGAAAGCAAGAGCAGGGAAGAGTGCAGACGATAAACTGGCAGAGATGATCTGGCTTTCATTTTCATTCAGCCACTCGCAAATGGAGTCTCTGGAAAGCTTTCGACAGCCCTGCACAGACACAGATTATTATTATTATTATCATTAAATCTACTTGTATTTAGTTCATTTTGAAGAAAACATATGCAGCTTTTGATACGCATGGGACTGGCAGCTTGGAAACAGGTGGCCTCTATTTATTCCCTCCCGCCAGCACCATGAGGCAGCGAACGACTCCTGCCCACGGTCTCGATGGCGTGTCTGAGCCCCATGCGGGTGCTGGAGGGGACCAGCCTCCCCGCACCCATTTGTACCCGATTCCCGTGAGCGTGGGACGGGGGAAGAGCACGGGTGTGCCAGCACCTCCCTCCCAGCTCGCCCTCCCTGGCCAGCAGCCACGTGGCACCAGCAATCCAGCTGGGGCTGAGCCGGAGCAGGTGACGGAGGGAAGAAAGGCTCCGCATCCCTAATTCCTGCCACGGGATCTGGGACAGGCATTTCTCACCAGCCAGCTTTTTTCACACATGGTTTGGCAGATGAAAGTCTGGCCATTAACCCTTCTGCCTCCCTCCAGACCCGTGCTTGGGAGCCCTGGTTCATCTGTTCCCCCGCAGCAGCCCAAGCCCCAGGCGATGCTGGGGCACCCCGGGAGCCAGCAGCCAGGAAGCCTCCAACGGCAGCCAGGCTCTGGCTGAGCAGCTGTGTGTGTCCCCCCAGGAAGGGAGGAAGAGCTTTCCTGTGGGAAGATGTCCGCTGGTGTAACAGGGAGCTGTGTCCCAGAGAGCGACTTCAGGAAGCTCCATCCCATCCTG